ACACAGATGGTTGCCAGAGATAAGCGAGATGCTCATGGTCACACGTGAGTCTGCATCCTGTGTCTACGCTTCCTGTCCACATGGCCTTGGGTTTCTCTGATCTCTCTGTGCCCCAAGTCTTCATCCATCAGAGGGAATAGTAGTAGTACCAACTTCATAGGGCTGTGGCGAGAACTGGGTGATGCCCGGGTAAGGGGCCTGGGCCGGCGCACAGCCTGAGCCACTCTCCTAACTTGTGGCTCCCTACCAGGGACTGTTCCACTCTCTCAAGGAAATCCCTTCTCATTCTTTTTGCAATAAACATGTGCGTTCGATAGACAGGTCCCCTGTTATAGGTGGAGCCTGCGACTGGGAGACTGAGGAACCAGCTGGGGGGGGGCAAATGGAGCACGAATCCTTAGTGAGCATCTGGAGACCCATTTGTCCCGTCGGGGGTGTTCCTGTGAGTATCTCAATTACTTCTAACACCGAGGGCTTGACTTCATGTCTTGTTTCTGCTGGGTGGTCTTAGGTGTTCCTATTCCCATTTACAGACCAGAACACTGAGGCTCAGGGAAGCCATGGAATTTCCCAGGGCCACAGAACTCATAACTGGCTGCTCAGGGCCCTTTGGGAGCCCGAGGAGAAGTGCAGGTGTGGCCGACCCCCGCGGGGAGCTCCTGTCCGAGGGTTCCTGTCTCTTTTCTTTCTCTGTGGGGAACATGAGGGCAGAGAACAGAGTCAAAGTCTCAGCAAAGTAAGAAATCCAGAAAGTTCTGTGCAGAGTATGAAAGAGCCAATTAGAAGGCAGGGCAGCACCGAGGGAGGTCCCAGTTGAGGCTGGAGCCATGACTTGTCATCGCAGTCACCCTAGGGAGAGATCAGTGCACTGTCCAAATAGTCAAGGAAGAAGGTGACTGTCAGTAAAGTAAGAAATTCAGGCTGTGCCGCGGCCCTGGTCCTCGGAGGTGCCCCCCCCCCCCACAGAAAGTGCATCCTTATTGTAGACATACTTCTATTTTACACTCTTGGAAAAAATGATGGGTGGCATTTACACTAAAGGGTCATGACCCACAGTTTGAAAAACACCGCCTTCCTTCCTGTGCCTCTCCTGACAAGGATGGAGGGGGCAGCTCTGCCACATGCATGTGCTTTTGCACAAGTGGCCTGGGCATGTGTCCCCCACCCTCTACCACGTGCACCACAGGGATAAAGAGAGCACTTTCCCTGCAAAGACAGAACCCCCCCATGGAGTTTCAGTTCAGGAGGGCACCTTCCTCAGCTCCTGCCCTGGCTCAGGGTCAAGGGTCCAGGTTTGCCGGCAGCCCTCCCAGGACACCACCGGCTCTGGCTCGGCCTCCCTTGCCACGCCCTGTTCCCCAGAACTTCAGGAGGGAGGCCCCAGGGGCAGCCCAGAGTTCACACAGCTCCACACTCACCCACACGCGTTCACACACGCGCTCTCTCACGCTTCTGCCAGCAGTTCCCTGACACCGGCTGGGTGTCCTACGCTTCAGTTTGGTTCTGACACTGCCTACGCAGAGTAAGCACAGACCCCACAAGTAAAGGACAAGGCTCCCCAACCAGACTGTCCTTACTGCAGGTGCCAGATGCCAGCCGGTCCCCAGGCTACCCACACTTCTGTCTCCCTTGCTGCAAACATAACCCCTCTTCAGGTTTGATAACTCACTGGAATGACTCAGAGAACTCCCTGAAAACACTATACATGTGATGATCATTTTGCTATAAAAGATACAACCCAAGAGCAGCTGAATGAAAGAGATTGGTAGGGGTGAGGTCAGGGGGTGGGGAAAGGTATGGAAGGTCCCACACCCTCTCCTGGTGAAATCTGGGCACATCACCCCCCTGCTCATCAATGTGTCACCAACCAGGGGCTCCACTGAGCTTCAGGGTCCAGAGGTTTTATTGCCGAGTGATTAAATCATAGCCTGCCTGCTTGAACTCTCTCGTAATTCCTCTCCTCTCGGGAGATCAGCCGTGGGGCTGCAAGTTCCAACCCCCTTTGAAACTAAGGGCCCACCAGGAGCCGCCCGGTCAGCTTAAACTCAGGTATGGTCACAAGGGGCTATTCATGAATAGCAGGACATTCCTAGCACCGAGGAATTCCAGGGGTTTCTGAAGTTTTGCCAGGAAAGGGGAACAAAGGCCAGATGTATTTTCTTAAATCACCCACACACTGGTTCTCACACACACACACTCTCTCTGACATCCCCTCGCACGCTGCTGGCTCCCACCCGCCTAGTGGGCAGGGGCGGCCTGCATTTTGGACCCCCGAAGAAGAGGCCAAGTGAGCTCTCTTCTTTGAAAGACAGCGTGCTCCTGGGGTGAGCTCAGGTTCGGGAGACCGTCCCAGCTCAGTGATGCCGCAGCTCGAAGCAGGGCCAGGCTGTGCTGGGAGCCCAGGCGTCGTCTCAGAGCAGGGGGCAGAGGCAGCTGGATGCCAGCCATCCTCCTGCCGGGCCCCCTGGGAGGGCACCTTTGCAGGCAGCAGCCGCCTGCCTCTCGCTTCTGGCATTTCTGCCCCCCCCACTCGTCCTCTGTCTGCTCCGAGTTCTCACGCTCTCTCCATGCTCCAGGAGAGGGGCTGGTAAACTCATTTCCAACCTCCGGTCAATGACTAATGGATTCATTGTGTCGCTGCTCCCAAGGGGACATGCATTGTCATGGGTAAGCAAAACCTTAGGCCCAGGAAGCCACCCTCTGGGCTGGGTGGAAGGTGCTTGGGGTCTAGAGTTTAAGGGCCGAGCTCACATCCCAGTGCCGGCACTTACTTACCTTGTGGTCTTGGGCGTTACGTGCCTCCCTCAGTTTCCTCCTCTGTAAAATGCGGGTACTACCCCTGGCTGGTTTGGCTCAGGGATTAGGGCGTCAGCCTGCGGACTGAAGGGTCCTGGGTCCCATTCCAGCCAAGGGCACGTACCTCGGTTGCAGGCTCGATCCCCGGCCCCAGTCCGGGTGCATGCGGGAGGCAACCCATCCATGTGTCTCTCTCACATCGATGTTTCTCTCTCTCTCCCCCGCTTCTCTCTTTCTTCCTTCCACTCTCTCTGAAAAGCAGTGGGGAAAAAATATCCTTGGTTGAAGATAAAAATAAATAAATAAGATGGGGATAAAAATAGCACCCCTCCACCATCACTACCATAACGTTGAGAAGAGAATTAAATAAGCTCTTGAATCTAAGGAACTGATGTTAGGGCTTAAGGCAGACCAGGGGTGCAGTATGTGTTAGCTGTTACTGTTGATAACGATATAATTATAATGTTTCATTAATATTATAATACCATTGTATTAATAACAAAGATGTGTAATCATAATAATAGTAACGATAGCAATGGCAGGGAATTTGGAGCATCCCCAGAGGCTGGCAGGACAGTGTGCCTCGGTGGGGAAAGGGAGGAAGGGCCATCTCAGTGGCCCTCCTGAGCCCCTCGTGTCTGGGGCCATGTCTTCAGAGACGTCCCAGTGGGCTCTACCCAAGCTTCCCTCAGCGCCATTGGCCAGACTCCTGATCTTCCCAACTCTANTGTGGGGAAAGGGAGGAAGGGCCCCTCGTGTCTGGGGCCACGTCTTCAGAGACGTCCCAGTGGGCTCTACCCAAGCTTCCCTCAGCGCCATTGGCCGGACTCCTGATCTTCCCAACTCTAGCCCCTGTGCTTGGGGCCTCAGTGGGGGAAGCTTAGACCCCTGGGTGGGGGTGCGGGGGGAAGGGAGGGGGACATGGTGATCAAGGAATGACCCTTTCTTGGCTGAGGGACACCTGTCCCCCCTCCCCAAGGGAATNTTGGCCAGACTCCTGATCTTCCCAACTCTAGCCCCTGTGCTTGGGGCCTCAGTGGGGGAAGCTTAGACCCCTGGGTGGGGGTGCGGGGGGAAGGGAGGGGGACGTGGTGATCAAGGAATGACCCTTTCTTGGCTGAGGGACACCTGTCCCCCCTCCCCAAGGGAATCTGTGTTCTTGGAGTCTGAGGCCTGAGCTTGGGTGGGGGCAGCAGAGGCTAAAAAGGACATTTTAAATGGTGGAGTTTGTGAGTGAAGCAGGGACCCCCTCCATCCCCATGATGGCCTTGGGAAGTGCAGCCCCTTCATTGAAAAGTGGGGGTTCTGTAAACATGCCAACTCTGGTTTAGACTTGGGTGATGCTTGATTACTAGAGCAGAGACGCATTCACCAGGCCGAGAGGTGGCGTCTTATGGGACTCGAGTGAACCCCCAGGAGAAGAGGGACAGGTGCCCCCCAGTGAGCCAAGTCCGGACGGGTATTTACTCAGTCGTCACACCAGCTGCACTCTCAGGATCAGAGAGGGCCTCGGTTCCTTCATCTGTAAATTGGGGATAACAGCACAACTCACGTCAGAGGGTTATTGATAGGTGCAAGCGAATATATGAGAGGTATTCATAACAGTTCCTGTCACAGAGAAAGCTCTATGTTAATTATTAGCTATTTTTATCTCTGTGGGGAAAATAGTGTGAATTGACTAATACCTGTGACTATTTCCAGCAGCCTCCCCGGGGTGGACATGCTGTGTGAGCATGTGGGGGTGAGTTGAAATTCAACCTGACTCCCAAACATTAGAACTTTTCTTAGTGTGGACCCTGGACCACCACCCTTAGTAGAATCAGCTGATTCCGGATTCTCCTTCCTCCCCCAACCGAACCAGCATCTCCAAGGTGGGACACGGGAACCTGCATTTTAAATACCCCTTCCCTAACTCTGTCTGCAACACAGAATTCTTTGGGAAACATCGATTTAGTTGAACCCCCTCTGTGGGCAAATGAGAAATTGAGACTCAGGAGCCAGGGGACATGGGCCAGAGGACATGGGCCAAGTGACACGTGGCTCCTGGGGCAGAGTCTCCCATTCTCCTGAGGGATACTTGACTGTCCACCCTGCCGCCTTGTTTCTGGAACATTTCAGATGACTTCCATCTCTCTGTTGTCTTTCTGACCTGCACCCAAATCTTTGATTCATGGAGCCCTCCCCCCCCCTTTTTTCTGTTGCAGACGTTCCTGGTTCGCCGGGATAGCTGCTTGAAGCACCTGGTGCTCTGCGTCCATTTCCCTTCCCTGAATGAGAGCTCGTCCGAGGTACTAGAATACACCATTAAAGAAGAAAAATCGAGTAAGTACCCTCCTTCCGTTCTGGCCTCTGACCACACAGCAGCAGCAGCAGATGCTACACCCCCTGACCACAGACACTCCTGTCAGGCCAGAGGGGTTTAGAGATAGAAGCGGGGGAGCTTTCAGTGCACTGAAGCCACTGGGCCAGGCCAGTGTCAGTTTCCGCTCGCCCGTGTCACTGCTTATTGACTTGGCCTCCCTGTGGCTGCTGTGAAGTTTCCTCCTGTCCGCTCAGGCTGGAGAGAAGGAAGAAATGGAGAGGAAACGTCTGGGCCCTGGGGTCCTAGTGACAGCCCAGCACACACTCAGAGCATGATCTCGGACAAGTCACTTAGCCTCTCTGAGCGTCTGTTTTCTCATCTGTCAAATGGGCATGGCAGTCACTCCTGCCTGTATCACAGGACCTTTGTGAGGGTCAAATGGGCAAATGCTTCAGAAGACAAAGCCCCTGTGTGTGCACAGGGCTGCCAGGAGCGGGCTTGCACCTCAGTGGAAAAATGTTTTGGGACCCCCCCGTTCCAGGGTGGGTTTGTACTGATACACAGTGAGAGTGTTTGGGCTTCCCCTCCTCTCATGGGCCATGCCACGCGGTAAGGGCCGAAAAGCCTGTTAGAAGAATCTGAAGAATATTCTAGGTACTGGCTTAGACCCTCTTATAAGTGGATCCAGGGCATGTGGGAAGCTTTTTACTCTTGGTTAGCAACAGAGTGATAACAAAGAAAGTATTATAAGTATTATAAGTATATAAAGATATTTATATAGTTATACATTATATACTTAAATAATTTATGTTTACATAATTAAATATTACATAAATATTTTAAAATAGTTATTAAATATTTTGGTATGCTTGTTTCTTAAACGACACGTACGCCTGGCACTGGGTACATTGAAGATGAGTAGGACAGAGTCCTGGCCTCAAGGGTCTCCCAGCCTAACTGGAGGGTGGGGGACATGGTGCGTGGGAAAGGCATCAACATTTGCTGTGCAGTGTGACAGGTGTGGCTGCAAAGGGACCCAGAGCTGAGGATGTCGAATGAACTCAAAGAGTCTGGAGGGTTTGGCTGGAAATAAATGATAGAGATTTAGTCAAAAGGCCAGGCAAAATCCCAGCAGTGTTCCAAAGAAGAAAGAACAGTTAAGAATTCTTTTCGTATAAAGCACATCCTTGAACATTACCAGTCCTGCACTCTCAGCCCTAGGATTGCCCCAGGCCCGTTACCAGATGTCCGATGAACTGCAGGATGGGGGTGCCTGGAGGTCGGGTCATGTCCAGTGGTCAGGATAATGTATGTCTGTCGGTGGATGTCATGTGGTCTGGATACATGAGTCCTTCGGGAGATAAGCAGAAGGTTATCTGGAGGTCTGGCATGTGTCTAGATGCATATCCAGGCTTGGATGCAGGACTGGAAATTTCAAAACATTTAAGTTCTCAGGCTCGTTAGAACAAGCATAGAATCGTTTCCTCCTGCCCCAGCCTACTTGATTTTAGGAATTTCGCAGCTTGGCCACAGGGACTGCGTTTACTTCTTTACCCTGTTCCTCACAGACCATGGTGGGAAGGATTCCGGGAGGGTGTCAGACGGGGGAGCGCAGGCTGGGTCCTGAGGGGTGAGTGTCTTCGGTAAAGGCCAATGTTCTAGCTCAGGAGTTGGAGGAGAAATCGAAGCAGAGGCTGATCCTGCTCTTGCCTGAAGGGGTCCTTTCTATGGAGACCCGGACTCATGAAAATGGGTAAAACATAACTCACTCACTCGTGTGTTCAACAGATTGTTATTCAGTGTCTACTCTTGTCAGGCACTGTCCTACTGGGGACCCAGCAGGGAACAAAACCCAGTCCCTGCTGCTGCCTCTCGGAGCTAACCTTGGGGTGGAGAGAGGAGGCAATAAGTAAGCAATGCAGGGAGGCTGTCGGTCGGGAGGAGGGTCAGGCTCCCGAGAACCTAGAAGGGGGAAGGTGAGCCGGCTGCTGGGATAACAACAAAAATTATAATGGCTGAAGCACAGAAGAGGCTGGTTTCCCACTCGTGCGAGAGTCCTGGTCCATGGGTAAGGGACCCTGGCTAGTGGGGGCTCAGCCACCCCAGGTACACAGCTTCCAGTTTCCCGAGAGGGGGCTTGTGGGCGGATCTTACCAAGTCCTGGAAGTGGGTGTGTCACCTGTGCTTCCATTCCATTCTCTAGAACTGGTCAAGTGACCGCACCCAACTGCAAGGGGGACTGGGAAATGTGGTTCAGTGATGTGTCCAGGCAGAAGCAGCGGGCCTGGGTTTTGGTGAACTGCTACGAGTCTAAGGTCGTAGAGTGTGTAGGGTTGTTAATTTATATAGCAAACCTTAATGTCCCCTGTCCTGCAGTGTCCAGCAGGAAAGAAAGTGTAGGGCTCTCAAAGAGGAAGGAAACAGCGTTATAGTTTCCCCAGATCAAATGATTTAGCACCCTCTATGGGCTGCAGAAGGGGTGAAGTTGTTTGGGGTGCCTGCTGCTCTCCAAGAACCCTTCCTCAGACATTCCCAGCAGGTGCCTCTGGGGCTGCAAAGACCCTGGGTGCTCTCTTGAGGTCCTGGGAGAGGGACAGACATCAGCCTAGCTGTTTATGGGCTTGTGTTGTCCTTCCTCTTAGTGAGAGTAACTGGCCTTTGGGGACTTGCCTGCTCAGAAACTAGTTAGCTATGATCCTTTAGAAACCTAAAGAGCCAAATGTGCATTAAATTTTAATTTCAACATAGGAAGGTAGTTGAAAGTGGGGAGCGATGATGTGCTGAGCCTGTTACACATCAGCACATGCTCTAGATATGCAAGGGGGGGAGCATTGTTCAAAGTCAGGCTGCTCAGGAAGGCTTCTTGGAGGAAGAGGGAATCAAGCTGGACCTACGAGTGCCTCGAAAGTCTGCTTTTCTCCTTTGCCCCTATGCTTGTTTTCCACCTCTCTGCCCCAGTCTCCAGGGCAATCACTTCTCGGTCGTTCCGACCCAGTTACACCACTGGGCTGCCCCGGCCTCTTGGAACTTGGTCAGAAAGCAGACAAAGCCCGACCAATGGAACCAGGACGCCGTGTCTGGTGGCATGTCTCATTTCTGATTAGGAAGCCAAAAGACAAACCTGGGCATTTAGGGATTGAGGCAGCTGACTTCCCTGGGTTTGGGACTTCCTCCTAGCACCATGTAATAGAATCTCTGTATCCATTTTTAAACTTTTAAAAATTTCAGTACCCAGCTTTGCTGAAAAGACCATCAACACCCAGACCCAAAATCCTTTATGTAACATAACTCTTCTAATCACGACTCGTGTCCATTCACTGTAACCGCACAGCCGTTTTTTATAAGTTTGTGTGTGTTTAGTTTTGCTCTTTATATTAATTACTTCACTGCTCCCCACACCTCTGACCCCCGAGTCTGCCCCCAGGGCGACCCCGGACGATCCCGAGAGGGCAGCAGGGAACAGGCACCTTTGCCGCGTTGGGCCGCGGGCCTGCTTCTTCCCTGTCGTCCTGTTCGGTGCTTTCCTCCCTAGCACCGGGGCGGAGCACAGCGTGTGTTGGAACCCAGCGCTGCCTTTTACTACCTGTGTGTGTGACCTTGGGCGCCAGGGCCCTACCAGGGGGACGGTCACGGTGCCTCCCTCAGAGGGTGCTGGAAGGAGTTGGTGTTAAGTGCTTAGGACAGGGAGCACCTTTCCACTTGCTAGAATGAATCGCTCAGTAAAGCCAATTAGAGCTTTTTAAAAGATAATAAAGTGCTTAGCACAGTACCCGGAGAACCGGAGAATGTTAGAATCGTGTTGGTTGTTACTCTTGTTTTGTTGTTAATCCTCCTGCAGGATTAAGCAAAAAGGAGGGGAATGAGCCTACACATTTGGTTCCAAGGCTCTGGCTAAATCCCAGCCGAGCACATGGGGACTGGCTTGTAGCCCCTCTTGGGAGGAGGGAGCCACCACCCTCCTGAGTCCTCCTGTGGCTGCGGTGGCTGCAGACGAGGGTGGCCCTAGGAGGAAGTAGGCAAGGGAAAGGCCCAGGGTCTGGAACTGGGGCCTTTTGCTGGGGTTCCCCATGCAGAGCTGAGGCCAAGGAAGGCGACAAGGGGATCTCCCAAAAGTGGGTGGTAAGCCTCATCTGTGGCCCACTCTGTTGGCTTTGAAGGAGAGAGACTCCCCTGGACCGCCGCTGTGCGTCAGTGTGCTTGGATTGGCCTCTGGTTCCTTGTTCAGAGTTTCTTGGCAAAACGCTGAACCAGTCCGCTCGGACTAGTTGTGCCACAGTAACAAACAATCCTACACTGCAGTGGCTTGCACACAGGGTGTGCGTGCGCACCAAGTACTGCACACAGAGCGGCATGAGTGTATTTTTCACTCATGTTACATGTCAGCTGAGGCTCTTTATTCCGCTTTATTTATGTATTTTAAATCGTCACCCAAGGACATGCTTATTGATTTGAGAGAGAGAGAGGAAGGGGGAGCGAGAGAGAGAAACATTGATGTGAGAGAGAACACAGATTGGTCGCCTTCCGTATGTGCCTCCACCTGGGATCGAACGCACAACCCAGGTTTGTGCCCTGACCAGGAATCGAACCCGCAACCTTTCGGTGCACGGGACGACACTCCAACCAGCTGAGCCACACCGGCCAGGGCTTCAGCTGAGGCTCTTTGTGAAAACATCTTCATTCTGTAATTGGGGCTGACACAGCAGCACCGTCTGGGGGTGGAGGGGAACGAGACAGGTGGCAGAATTCCACTTTGGCTCTCAAAGGGTTTACTCAGAGGCAGCAGGTGTCATCTCCCCTCACATCTCATTGGCCAAACCAGGTCAGGCGACCAGGCCAGACACCAGTGGGATGGGAAGTATTGTCCTCACGCCAGCATGTGACCAGCAGGGAGGGGCTGCGATTTTTTGAACAAGTATTACCACCTATTACCTCCCCAGCCCTCGGTGCTGCACTGAGGTGACCACAAGGCTTTGTGGTATCTGACTCACCACTTAACTTCATCAGGGACCCTCAGAGGCAG